GCTCTTTGCCACACTGAAAAATGATACTCTGAATCGACATGTATAAAGCAAAAACAGTCTGATACATTATACTCTCTTCTCATCATTGTTTTTTCCTGCCACATGGAGGAGCTAAAACATAAAGTTGCTAAAACATAAAAGCAATTATTTTTACTCAGTTTAAAATGTTAAACATACCAATGTCCCTTTTTTTTTTGAGAGAGAACGCTAAAAAATAAAAAATCCTGTATTTTTCACTTAGGTAAATACCTAACAGAAAAAAACTTTTTGAGATTGATTTTTTTTTCATTCAGCATAATTCCTTTGAGATCTATGCAAGTTGTTGTGTGTATCAATAATTCACTGGTTTTTATTGCTGAGTAGTATTCTGTGGTATAAATGTATCACAATTTAACTGTTAATTCACTGAAGGACATTTGGGTTGTTTCCAGTGTTTGGCTATTACAAACATTACTTTGAACATCAGTGCACAGAATATTTACATGAACATAAATTTTCATTTCTTTGGGATAAGTACCCCAAAGTGCAGATGTTGTATCCTATGATAAGTGCATATTTAATTCTAAAAGAAACTACCAAACTATTATCCAGAGCTACTGTACCATTATTCCCACCAACAGCAGGATCTATAATTGTATTTGCTAATCTGACAACCCTAATTAGTAATATTAATGATCAAAATTTTCTGATTCCCTTTGGCTTTTCCTAGAACACTTAACTACTTCTTCCTATTGGCAGCATTACTCTCTTTCACCTCCCTCTGAACCATGGCAGTTGCTTGGGGCCCCGTGATTCTGGAACTCAACTCCTCCAGCTAGTTAACAGCTCAGTTGGTATGGGATGGAATAATCTCTTGGCCTTGGCTTGATTTTGAGTTTCATTTTTTTCTTTTATGCTTCAGGCACCAGGCAGAGTAGAAAAAGATGAAATCCTCCCTCTAATTTGCATACAAGCCTTTTCATAGCACTTATAACAAGAGCATTTATTATTTCTGATTTTGGGTTTTTTTTGTTTAAGATTTTATTTATTTATTTAATTGACAGAGAGAGAGAGAGAGACAGAGACAGCGAGAGAGGGAACACAAGCAGGGGGAGAAGCAGGCCTCCCACCGAGCAGGGAGCCCGATGCGGGGCTCAATTCCAGGACCCCGGGATCATAACCTGAGCCGAAGGCAGTTGCTTAACCAACTGAGCCACCCAGGCGCCCCTGTTTCTGAGTTTGTATGCTGGACTGTATGTTCCTAAATGTAAGCCATTAAGTGTTTAATAGTGTCTTAACAGGTCAGTTTCTCCCAGAATGAGATCCTAAGACAAAGATTTGGGTGCAAGTAATTTATTAAGCGAGAGCTCCCAGGAGCAAAGTAAGAGTATGGAAAAGGAGGGCAGACAAGGGGAAGAAATCAAGGATGAGTACAGCATCAAGTGAAGCCCCAACCTCAGTCTGATTCTGAGGGAAGCTCAGCATGGTATCGTTACATCACAGAGTTTACCCTATGTCCAAGCAGAGGAACTGGGCCTTTGTACTTCATACTAGTCATTGACTAAAAAATGTGGTAATGTGGGGTGGGGGGAGCAAAAAACTCCCAGGCATTTCTAGCTCAGTATTGGCCAAGTGGCTTCATTGCTCAAAGGGAATCTTCCAAAGATCTGGAGTGTGAGCTCTTAACAGCAAAGTGTGCAGAAGCCAGAGGATGGTTCCTAGTGCTGATAATGTGGATCTATCAAAGGACAGCTGAGCAGGTACCAACAGTATCCGCTAAATTCTGGTGTCTTCCCCATATAGTCATTAAATAAAGAAATGGAATCCCTCAAAAAAAATTTTATAAGGAGAGAAGAGCAGTATCACTATCCTGATTTTTCAAAAGTCAAATAAGAGATTAAGTGACTTTTCTAATATCTTAAGATTCCAAGCCTAGAATTTATTCCAGCATGCTGCATCATATTTTAAGGGTTTTATAAGTATCTTATATAGACATATGGAATGCATATAAATATGCTTTCTTTAACCTGAGTAAGTAGCATGATGACTTTTATAATTTAAAAAGTACAGGAAATATTATAACAAATGATTACTTTTCATTTTTAAAATGACTTCCCTTTAGGTTATCTAACACTACATAGAATAATTGGGTTAAGTGGCAAGCTCCATATTAGATGTCTGCACAGTTTAATTCCTACCATCGTTCAAGGCTTCTCTCTGTGTTTCATTCTTCAGATGATTTAATTAAAGGCACTGTTTAAAAAGAATATATTAAAAGGTTCCTGGAGCACTGCAAGAGGTTAATTCATTTAGAATGTACTTGGAGTTCTTCCATAATTTTCCCATGTGGGCCTATTTACATATAATACTTATGAGTCATGGCATTTCTGCTGAAAAATGAATATTCTTCCATAAATATTTCCAGTAACTCTTATAGTCTGTTATTGACACATCACGCACTTCCTTCTAGTTCGAGAATCACTTACCAATAAAGAGTCTACCTTTGTTTCCCTGTTTCTGCGAACTCTAGACCACTCACTAATGCAGAATCTCTCAGGGATATGATAAATTCAGGGAGAAGGAGAACAGGAGTTTACCCGGTGGATTAACTCAGAACTAAATAGCTACTATTGTGTTAACTCTCTTCCTGTCACCTTGAACCCTTTATCCCTTCCGGAGGATCTAAAACAGTGCTTTTCAAACCTACTGACCCATTAAAATCTCCTGGGGAGCTTTAAAATGTACAGATGCCCTGGCTCTGCCCCAGACCAATTAAATCATACTCGTAGGCACTGGTCTGTGGAAAGCCCCTATGTGATTTTTTTCATGCAGCCAAGGTTGAATACACTGATCTGAAACAGAAGCAATGTGACAGGTCCATTGGTGTCAAGAATAGATTTGACTGTGTCCCACATCTTAGAAGCACGTTTTCAATTCCTTTTAAGCTGAGAATTTCCCATTTATTTTGGTCTTTTTTGAAGGTCTGGTTACCAACTTGAGGTCACGCCTGGGCAAACCAAAGTGCCCGATGATACCGTCTGTAGGCCGTTGTAGGGTTGTTTGGGATAGTTTGAGCACGTAAGAAAAAAGAACTGTTATATCTTATAGAATCTGAGAACTGAAACTTTTTTTACCCTAATGCTTCTGAGCCTCACACTCTCTCCTCCGGGAGCTCACGAGAAAGCGGACCAGCAGTTAGCTATGTTTTCAGGTCACTTTTTGTACCTGCCCCCGCTATCCTCTGACTTGTTACTGTTTTCTTACTCTGTTTCTTAGACTGCCGTACAAGGAATCATCTGTGATGCTTTTAGAAATATAATTCCCTTAACCCTACCTTAAAGGTGCTGATTTTTTAGACCAGGGCATCTGCGTTTTATATTTTAACCTGTTCCCGGGGTAATTCTCATGCTGGTAATACAGAGAGCGCATTCTGAAAAAACAAAACTCTGATTTCCTTAGTCGTTATTGTTGTTATTTTTCCAAGAATGAAGGAAGGAATAAAATGTGATATAAGAAGATACTCTGACATTACTGTTTTGCTCCTTTCCATTCTGTGAGTTAACATAAAAAAATTCTACTTATTTACTTCATATAAAGTGTATACACACACACACACACACGTGTATTTACATAAGGAGTGATGAGTTTTTAACTCACACTGGTGTTATAATTGGTACTATGTGGACAAAGTCTGGGAAATTATATACACTTACTGCATTTAATGATTATTTGCTATTATATAGAAATATCTTATAGAATAAAATATCCATACTTCAATTCTAATTAGTCTTACATGTTTCATGAAATTGGACTTCTGTTTAGGAGGTCTTACATCTCTCCAGGATAGAGGGTCTGTCACAACATGGTAATTATTATGAAACTTTTTCTCTTTTGGGTGTGGGGTAGATAGTTCAGGTATTAGCTAAAAACCTTCAGGGATATTTTAAAATTTAGTAAAATCGTAGATCCATGTTTTATTTTTAAATGTAGTTTAGCTTATAGCTCTTAGCTGGAGTAATTAGTTTTTTAAAAGTTTATATTTTAAAAGCTTATGTACTATAAGAGTGTCATAATTGGAAAACAAAGAAAATGCTTATTTGAAATTAGGAACTGTATTAAATCATATTAGTATCTTAAAATATACCATGACATTTAAATCAAGTAACAAATAAAAAACATTTATATGCTTTGAATTTACAGATAAATTAATAATTTATGTATTATTAATATGTTTTAAATCTTAAATTTTTAAGTCAACTTTATTCCTTTCCTTCTAACATAATGAAAGTAGCTTTAGTTTTCTTTCCTGTAAAAATCTTCAAATAAAATATTTAGGGGGCGCCTGAGTGTCTCAGTCGGTTAACTGTCTGCCTTTGGCTCAGGTCATGATCCCGGGATCCTGGGATAGAGCCCCTTTCAAGCTCCCTGCTCAGTGGAGAGCCTGCTTCTCCCTCTCCCTCTGCCCTCCCACCCACTCATGCACATGCTCATTCTCTCTCTCTCTGTCTCAGATAAGTAAATAAAATCTTTAAAAATGAAAAAAAATAAATGACAATATTTAGGAAAAAAGTTTTTAAAAAAAATCTTTGAATAATAGGCATTGTATGTGTTTAAGTAATATGTTTACATTTTCACATAATATAAAATGATATAAATTAATAAATCTTCTGCTTAATTAGGATTTGGGTTTGCATTACTACCATACCATGTGTATTCTGTTGTTGTTGTTGTTTTAAAGATTTTATTTATTTGAGAGAGAGAGAGGGAGTGATCATAAGGTGGGGGAGGGTTAGGGGCAGTGGGAGAGGGAGAAGAGGCTCCCCACTGAGCACGAGCAGGGAGCCCGATTCAGGACTACATCCCAGGACCCTGGGATCGTGACCTAAGCCGAAGGCGGATGCTTAACCAACTGAGCCACCCAGGCACCTCCCATGTGTATATGTTATGCCATGTTACAGTTCAAAATGATTTGATGATGTACCATGTGGTAAAGCCTATTTCTGACAAATTGCCATTTTCAGTTTCTTGGCAGTACGGAAGTGGAGCAGCCTAAAGGAACAGAAGTTGTGAGAGATGCTGTCAGGAAACTCAAGGTAGGGAAAGTCCTCCAAAGCAATGTCTAGTAGTGTATTGATCCTGTCTTAAGTCATCAGTAGATGGATGCATATTCAATGCATAAATAGCTTTGCGGCAGGTAATAGCTTTGTCTTGTTAAAGATGAATAAATACCACCAGATCAGGGAAACATATTTAAAAATAAATATGAATCCACAATTATTTTTCTGAATTTCCTATTTGTCCATAATTTCTCATGCTCAAACAACAAAAAATGGCAGTGTTCCCTATGTATTGACATTCAGTAGCTTGCCTTTACTTTGCTTGGACAATGTGAACTCGTGCCCTGACTCAGAAACTAGTAATGGCATACCAACTGCTCTAATAGGAGATCACATCCACCGGTGGAAAGTGTAGAATTAGAATTAATTCCAAGCAGAATTTTGCAGTGACACCGTATGTTAAAGATGTCCTAATGCCCCAATCCCAGAGTATGCAGCTTTGTCCCTGAGCGGACATGGGGAACTGGTGAGACCAAGAGAGCAGAAGAGACATTAAATCAGCAACTCCATACTCAAAATCACATTTCCTGAGAAAATTCTCTGTAAGATGCCACATATCTTAGCATGTTTTTCTAAGTCCTCCCCATCCCAAAAGACATTGTTCTCACTGAGATACTAAGATGTGAAAAATTCCTTCAACAGAATTCTCATCTTTATCTCATTAAGAAAATCTAACAAACCACTACTTTTTTTTTTACACAATTCATTGTTATTCTCTGTAGTTATTCTCAGTTTTTATCAGAAACGACCCTTCTCTAACTTTAGTTTAGAGATCATCCAGTTATTTTAGAAGAGGGTTAGGCCTTTGATTGTGCCTGGCAAAGTCCTAGACATGAAAAAATACCTTTCTGCTTTGAGAATGTCGTATCAGGTGGAATCTGCTGAGTGTTTAAATTGAAGAACAGTTGAAGTGGGATGGCGTGTATTCTGGGGAAAGAAAGTAAAAGGGATAATATGTTTATCTACCCATGTTACATGTAAATAATGTACCAGTGCTTTCAAGTAAATATGCTAAAAGTTTTCAAGATGATATCTCTCCCATTTGGGAAAAAAGTGGAGTAGGCAATCATTTCTTTCCATTGCTCATTAGGTAATAATTCACACTTGCCCTTGTTTGGTCAGTATTTTTAAGCACTAGCAGAAGATTAAAAAGGCCTCACAGTTTATGAACCACATTTAAGATTCTCTTTAAATGTTCAAAATATTGCAAACTCGGCATGAGTCCAGCTTCACTACAATCAGAATTTTTTTCCCTTTAAATTTTTTTTATTGTTAATCACCATACATTACATTAGTTTTTGATGTAGTGTTCCATGATTCATTGTTTGTGCATAACACCCAGTGCTCCACGCAGAACGTGCCCTCGTTAATACCCATCACCAGGCTAACCCATCCCCCCACCCCCTCCACTCTAGAACCCTCAGTTTGTTTCTCAGAGTCCATGGTCTCTCATGGTTCGTCTCCCCCTCCGATTTCCCCCCTTCATTCTTCCCCTCCTATCTTCTTCTTCTTCTTTTTTTTGACATATATTGCATTATTTGTTTCAGAGGTACAGGTCTGTGATTCATCAGTCTTACACAATTCACAGCACTCGCCATAGCACATACCCTCCTCAATGTCCATCACCCAGCCACCCCGTCCCTCCCACCCCCACCACTCCAGCAACCCTCAGTTTGTTTCCTGAGATTAAGAATTCCTCATATCAGTGAGGTCATATGAGACATGTCTTTCTCTGTACAGTCAGGATTTCTTATAGAAGAATAATGGTATTTATACTTAATGTGTCTTTATGTCTAGGAGGTTCTTTATTGGGTCAACTCAGATCCCAAACCAAAAGGATTAAATTACATTATGACCAGGTAAAATGTAGAGGTATTTGAAATGAAATGCTTTTAAACGGTGGCTAGTTTTCGTACATTTTGGAGAGACTCTGTTTGCAGTTCCTATGTCATTTTATATTTGGAAATGTACTTTGTTAATAAAGGAATGTGATTTATAGTAAGTATGCAGTATAGTTTACAAATGCATGTTCGCTTGATAATTGTTTTTCAAGTGTTTTCCAGAATAAATGTTTATCTAATAAGCAATCTTTATGCTGCTAATGGCAAAAAATTTGTAGATAGGAAAGTGTTTTTAAGGGTAATGATTTATAAACAAATTAAAATAAATAAGTGTTTTTTATCTAATTATATATACATATATATATTTTTTTTCTTGGTGTCAGAGGTCAGAGGCTAAATTCAAGCCTTCAAAATATTTGCATTTATTTTAGAAATGTAGACCCTGGCTCCTCTTTAATTCTGTTGTCATGTAGAAATGGCCAGAAGGTGGTGCTATGGTTCTACCAAAAAAAAAAAAAAGTTCATTAACTCTATTTTGTGTACACATCCCCCATTTTAATTTCCTGCTTATTTTTCGTAAGCATATGTATTCTGACTGCCTTTTTATCCATTATAGTTCAGTATTGATTTTACTTGCCACATAAGTTAATATTTTATTTATATTTACTCATTTTTCAAAGCTTTGCAATATTTTATGTACTGTTTTCTGACAATTTAAAATTTAGGATTAATATAAGATGATGGGTACTTAGAATATTTTCAATTTTGTATTTTTTCATGCTCTGTGTTTAATGATGCCTGATTATTTTTTGAGAAAAATTTTAAAGTTTTGATTTTGTTACATACAACTTTTCTATGATTTTGTAGAGAATTATAGTTTATAAATTTTTCTTAAAATAATTTTTATAAGTGTTAAAATTTTTACTTTCAGATTTCGTATTTGCCATAACAACATATTTTCTGTTTCTCAATCATGTTCAGCCATTTCTATTTCTTAATCATGTTTTAGCCCAAGATTTAAGAAAATACCAGATTTTCCAAAATGTGATAATTTAAAAACCCTTTCAACTTCTGTATATTTAGTGGTATTGTTATTGTAATGATTTCATTTTTAATAGTGTTTTATTTATTTTTATTTATACAACTAGTACAAATGTCAGAGGATACAATCTATTTTATAAATAGTTTGCTTGTAATGTTTACATGTGGATGAATATTGATATATAGATCCAAAACTTCTTAGTTTCCCTGGGAGATAAGCAGGGGGGCAGCATTCCTGGATCCCAATTTTAGAGGAGAGATCCCTCACCCCAATACAGCTAAATTAAAATTGCGTGAAGCTCCCTCAGCAAAGGAGGCCTTGGGAATTGCCGCTGACTGTTAATCTTGGTCTTTTTCCATTCGACCTCACTCTCTCTGTGTAGCATAACACTGTTTTTGTGTTCATAACCAGTTATTTAATTAATAAAGTGTTTAGAGCTTAATTTAATTATATGCATACATACATACATACATAGCTGATTCCTAGGAATATGCTTAATTAAGTTAACAATTTATAAGAGCCATAAAGGAAGAGTATCTCTAATATTTGACTCACAGTAATAAATTCATTGGTTTTCTTTCCTAATAATGTATATTCCCCCAGCAGTGTACTTAGATTTCATCTTTTTAAAGTCCTCTGAGAAATAAATAGAAATTGTGTGATTGTGCTATTGAAACCAGTAGTGCTCTCTGTAAGAAATTTTCTTTAGCTGTTCTACTCTCTAGTGACATATACTTAACTATGAATTTCTAGTAATACTTCATTTTTCCCCATCTTTTTATGGTGATCAAGGCTTGTTTCTGTTTGTTTGCTGTATCCACATATCCTCCAGGATGCTTAGGCTTTATCCCCTTTGAATAATTTTTATTGGATTATCATATACAAATTATGATGGTAGATCACTACCTAGATGACCCAAGAAATGAATCCACTGAAGCAAAAATGGAAAGAAATCGCAAAAAAAGGCTCTTCAAGCATTAACATTCAAGTAGTAAATAGGGAGACAAAAGAATATAGTGTAAGTAAGAATGAAAAGCAGTCTTCAACATGTGAATTAGAAGTATTTTGGAACACAGTTAAGAGGTCTGTCAGACTTTGAGTTGGCAAAACAGACTGAGTTAGAGGGGACATGCAAACTATAATGCAATATTTGATTTCAGAAAAAAAAGTGGACAGGAGTGAGAATATTCTGTTTAAAATACAGATTGAGCAAATATAACCTTAAGCATCATTGTTTACAACCAGTGTGCAACAATCAAAGCCAATAGCCATTATAAGCCTTGATATACATGAAAGTAAAACTGGGAAGTTTATTATTATTATTTTTTTAATGTAGAAACTGTGTTGTGCAAAAGAAAAGAGTTATTTAGTGGGTAGCTGCAAAACTAGGTTCTCAGCCTGACTGCTTCAAGCCCATTTTATGACCAGGGTATTGGATTGGATGACCTATAAATCTTTTTTGAGCACAATTACTTCATCTTGATAAGAAGCAGAGAAAAAAATCTTAAGCCCCTAATTCGGATATTTTGTTCCTTTTTCTTTATCTCATTCTTTTGTTTTCATTTTCCTCCCTCCTTCCTCTCCTATTTGTTTTTTTTTTCTTTCTTTTTTTTTCTCTGTAGCCCCCACTTTTTCCTTTTTGTCATTTCTTACATGATTTCTTCTTTTCTTTTCCGTGGCAGGAAAGAAGTTACTCAATGAGGTTTAGTATTAGTGGTTGTTCTGTGACAGACTTGGGAAACTAGAAGAGGTCGCAGGAATGGTGGTGGCCAGATGTGGAAAAACAAGAGCCACTGCTCAGTGTCTTGTTTCTGGAAGAGAGCAGCAACCAGGAGGCCAGCTTGCCTGCTGCTGCAGCCCGTGATGGAGTGGATGTGCTTAGATGCATTCACAGAGACAGATAGAAGCCGCTGATTTATTTTATAAGCCTTCGTATGTGAAAATCCCCAAATTGTTTTAATTATGGCAATACAGGAAGGAGATTCTGAAGGGAAAATAAACAAACTGAATCTACTTTCTTTGGGAGAGAGTTGGAATAATTTTTAAAGATCTGAAACAAAACATGTTTCTTGAAGACATACAAAAAATTATCTGGTACAAATTCGTCCAATTCTTGAGCAGAATATAAGACTTCTGGATGCAAAATGAGAGCTGCCTGCATTCATAGAACAGGACAGATAGCAAGCTAAAAAATTATACCTCCCAAAATGAAATAAACAAATGGTATCCCCCACCCCAGGATAGCAAGGCAGACACTTTTAGGCATTTGTGTATGCATTAATTATATTATTCTGAGGGCAGTGCAAAGCCATGAAAAGACAAAAGGGCTTTCAACCACTCTGTGCTTTAGGACTGAACTGTACCATGTGTACTCACATCTGTCCTAAATTAGAGAGAAATGCACAATGCAAATAAATATGACATACAAAAGAGGACTGAAACCCCACCCTGCCTTACATATAATCTATTTTGAGTCAAGTGAGGATGATCCATATGCTGAAAAAATGTTATAATAGTAGGGAAATAATATTTTGAGGCTCTAGAAGAGGAGTAAAATACCTTATTTTTTCCATTGTCCTTCCCCCTCCCCCCCCCATTTCTTAAAAAGAAAGGTAGGAGTATGGTAGAAAGAAGTAAAGTAGGGACAGAGCAACATTGACAGTAGCATTGCCAAATCAGGACACTTGGTCACCTTTGAACTTCAGATAAACAATGAATACTGTTTTAGTGTAAGTATGTGTCCCAAATATTGCATGGGACATACTTACACTAACTAGCATGTATGCATTATATGTGTGTACACATATATACAGAGTGTAGATGTGTATTCTAAAATAAAAGTTTTAAGTCTTCATTTAATATTCAAATTTAACTGGGCTCCTGTAATTTTTTCCACCACTAAATCTGGCAATGAGGGGAGAGAGACAGAAACTCCCATTTACAAACTGCACATGTTGGGATTTTCTTTTTTCTTTTATAAAAAAAACCTAACAGGCATTTACATACACTTACCAATTCAATAAGAAGTTACATTACTGTGAAAACTGTAAAAATGTTTAGATTTTTAAGATACTCGTAATTCTAGACTGAGTCTAGTTCTTAGTCTTTTAGCTGGGATAATTACTTCAGTTCTTAACTTCAGTTTAAATATGGTAATCTGTCTCTTTTCATTCATTGATTTGATTGGGTAGGATGGCATTACCAAATGAGGTAATTATCTAGAAATGACAAAGATGGTATATCTAGCACTGGGGAACTGTAAGTTCCCTAAAGGTATTAAAAACAAAAGATCCACCCACAAAGTTTTCATTTTCTTAATAGTTAGTATGACTATAATTGTTTAAATATAATGAAAGAAGTATTAAAATTTTTTAAAAGGTTATTGAATATCTGAATTTAATGATAGTAATGGTAGATTGCTATGATTACTAAATATTTTGAAGCTATTCAGGGTTTATAAAATACTTTGCAATGGATAATAATTTATTTAATGGAAGTCCAGCACTGAATACAAACTCCAAATATATATTATACATATGTATACACACACACACATCTAATTATATATATATGTGTGTTTATTTTCCATGGAAACAGAATTATAGTTTTCTGAATAACTTTTCATTTGTAGTTTGCAAGACATATCAAGAAATCTGAAGGCCAGAAAATTCCTAAAGTTGAGCTGCAAATATCAATATATGGAGTAAAAATTCTAGAACCGAAAACAAAGGTAAGTCTTCTTTTTGAATGTCAGAAACACTCTAATCTTTCATTCATTGAGATTATGTTCCTATTTCAATAAATGAGTTTGGTTACCAACTGGAACTGGTTAGTTCTCAGTTAATGACAATTTAAAATTCTGTAGAATTTTTAGGAGGAAAAACAACTTTTGGGAGTGCTTCCAAAGTGGTCTGTGTTTGGGATAGAAGTGTATTTAATAGTGTTTGGTCTCGTTTTCAGGAATTTTTCTTTGTGTGCTGTGAAAGAGATTTGTGAAGTGTGGTTCCCTAAGTATGAGAGGAGACAAAAAGCTGTGTGTTGTTTATTAAAATGTTCGGGACTGCCTCTTATTGCCTGGAGACATAATCAGTGCATACTAGTTCACCTAGGCTGCCATGATAAAACACCACAGACATGGTGGCTCAAAGAACAGAAATTTATTTTGTGTTTATCTTATTTCCAGTCCTGGAGGCTGGAAATCTGAGACTACACTGACAGCGGTATTGGTGTCCTCTGAGGCCTCTCTCCTTGACTTGCCGATGGCAGCCCTTTTGCTGCCTCTTCACATGGTCATCTGTGCACACACACCCCTGGTGTCTCTGTGTGTGTCCAATCTCCTTTCCCTATTAGGACACCAGTCAGATTGGATAAGGGACCATCCTAATGGGCTCACTTTAATGTAATCAGCGCTTTCAAACCTTCTCTTCAAATACAGTCCCATTCTGAGGTATGGGAGGGGTGGTAAGGCTTCAGCATTATGCATTCTGGGGCAGCATAATCCAGCCCATAATGCATTGTGAACTTAAAGTTCTTGTATTTAAGAGCCCTTTCCCCTACAAATCCAATGAAAAAATTTTAAATATAACCCATTCTGGCTTCACATTCATTAATATGGATTTGTTATGGACTTCACTGTTTTTACCCCAAATTCCCTAAGCCCCAATGGGACCGTACTTGGAGGTAATTATGGTTACATGTGATGTTAATGAGGCCTTCCTCTACCAGAAAGAAAGGAAAGAAAGAAAGAAAGACAGACAGACATCAGGGATGTGCAAGCACAGAGGAGAGGCCACGTGAGGACACAGTGAGAAGGCAGCCGTTGGCAACCCACGCTGAAATACGACTAAACGCAGAGTGTAGAGAGAACTTCTGTAGTGTTTAGAATTCACCAACACTAATATGTGGTGTGTGTGTGTGTGTGTGTGTGTGTGTGTGTGTGTGTGTAAAAAAGAGACAGAGAGCTCCATCATGGGAATGCAAATACAGCTCAGTGTTATCAGTTGGTGATTCTGAAGTCCCCCATAATAAGTCTTCCATAATTGTAGGCTGCCCGTTGACAGCTGTCAACCATATCATTCTGTTCTCTAAATTTTGACTACCAGATGTAACTTCCTGCCCGATCCTAAATCCCATGTACAAAACCTCAGTGAGGTGGGATTCAACTCAATATGATTAACCAGTTGAGTTTTGAGCATTACATCTTTGTCTTACCCAAATCAGTAACACAAAAGCTTTTCCCCCCTGTCTGAAGATCTCAATTTCCTAGACTTAATAGCTAATTTTCAAGAGACCCAATTGAATTTTTCCCTAAAAACATAAGTTTTCCAAGCTTTCAATAGGAAAAAAAAATTTTTTTCATCCCTACCAAATTGAAAAGCAGTCTTGGAGTTTTAAAATCTTTAAAATGTCTTATTAATTCAATTATATTACATTTGAATAGAGAGCAACTGACTCTTTACCCATATATTACATATGAACATAGAGTATCTGAACTCTTCATGCATATATAGAATGTACCATTTTTTGGATCCACTAACAAAAATAACCTAAAAAAGGTTTTACCAGCTCTGCTGAGCATCAGGACCCCGAGGAGATTCCTGGAAATGCTGATTGCTGGAGTCCCCTCAGGACTTTCAGATTCAGAATCTGCTGAACAAGACTTAGCATCTATATCATAAAAAACAAAACCAAAAACACCACCCCATGTGACTCTGATACAGCCTGTTCACAGATACGTGTTTAGGAACCACTATTTGGGGAGATCTAAGTGAATCAGAACAAAATCTGTCATTCATTTTATTTTGGTTTGTTTATTTTATTTAGTCGTAATGAAAAAAAATACTATGCTCCTAAAATAAATTTATTTATAGTAAAATGTACGTGTACGAGGCAGGATTTAAAAATGCATTATTAATCTAACATGGACTCATAGAAAATAGACTGTTTTTCTATGCCATTTGGATGGATGAAAACAGAAGTGAAAAGCAATCTCAATTGGCTCCAATATCTTTCTTTCTGTGTCTTTTCCCCTTCCTCCTTTGTCACTTGTCCTTCATATGAAGATTATGCAGTGGTGGAAAGAGGTGGTATAGGTGAATTGGGGATTTACTTATTCTTTGTTCCAACTCCAATAAAATATGGCCAGTGTTAAAGTATAATTGTTTTTCACTGTGCTTGTGTTCCCAAGTCTATCCTGTCTCATCAAAAATTAGGGCTACATTTAAAATTCACAAAGATTTATCACAACAACAAAACATTCACAAAAAATAATGAAGTTACGAGTTTTAGCTTCCTAGTCTTCTTTTGTAGGAAGATGCCTCTGCTAATCTAAACAAAAATTAAAGATGATTCCCAACTGTCATTACCAAAGACTTTCTGTAATCATACTGGTTGATGAGTGAGCGAGGGCCTGTGTACATTTTACCACCAGCTTATGTAAGTGGTATGTTTTCATGTTACTTGTAGTTTCTCCTACAAATGGAAAAAAATTAATCATTTTTCTATATTATACAGTAATGACATTTCCTCTATATATAATTAACATGATTATGCAGTTAATAAACTGGTGTATACCTGCTGTCAGTATTTGGGAGCTACAATGTGGCTGAATGGTATTGTTTGATTGACTGTATTAACTTTTACACACACAAAAAATATGTCAGCAAGAAAAAGACTGGTCAATCAAAGTATAGGAGAAGGATAGTCTCAGACAAATGTGGCCATTGTCCATCTTAGCACTAACCACAAGGAAAGGAAGGTGTCCTCATCAGATGCCTCAGTAAGTTGAGCCCCTCTTTTTGGCATTGTTCCTTCCTGCTGTTGAAATGGATGGATCAAGCTATCTAGTAATGACAAAAATGTTACAGTCATATAGTATACCTCCTCATTCTAATTTCCATGTTTGCTTCTGGTGACTTACATTTTGTTTGTATGCAGGGAAAGAATACAGTGCTATAAACAAATTCTCTTAACATTTATCTGTATATCTTAATATATTAATTTTCAGTCTGATGAGCAGTAATGTGAAATCTGAGTGATAGATCCAATCTCATCAAACTGACACATCGAACCCTGAACTTAGAAAGGTGTAGTAACAGATGCTGTAGTTATAGAATATATATAGAGTGTGTGTGTGTCATATGTATACACAATATATATGTACATATATGAAAAATACAAAATTATAACTGTGTGTGTATGTGTGTGTATATATATATATATATATAGTTACAGTATTTATCTTTCTAACTAGTAGGGTTGATTAAGTAATTTAGATGCTTGACATATAGACCTTCCTCATGAAGACATGTAAAATACAATTTAATATGAAAACTAAGGTTGAAATGGTAGTATGTTTCCTAGGAAATCATGTGCAGATGAATTTAGGTTTCAAACTGTAATGCTAGTGAGGAGAAGTAAGATAAAATGAAAATGTTCTGGTAATAAAAGTGTTCTGCTAATTCTGTAACCTTGTGGAAGTATCTTAATTCTCAGGGCCTCGATGTTCTTCTAAGTAAAGTTTCAGCGTTTAAAGTAGTTGTCTCTTAAGATCCCTTGCAACTCAGAAAGTCCACGCACCTCTGATCCTCTCGTATTTTGCTTGTGTTTCTCTAAGTCCTATTGAGATGACTACCATAGTTTAATCTGAGTCGGGAGATCCATCTCCATTATGTATTTGTTTAAGTTTGGGTGTATGTAATTATAAACCGAAGCTTGACAGATGATTGTTTCACTTTTAAAGTCATAAGTTGTATGTTATTAACACAAGCTGGTATTTCAGAAAATGGACAAAAATCTCTTCAACTGTTTATTTCCATTTGTGTTCACAGGAAGTCCAACACAATTGCCAGCTTCATAGAATATCATTTTGTGCAGATGACAAAACTGACAAGAGGATATTCACTTTCATATGCAAAGATTCTGAGTCAAATAAACATTTGTGCTATGTATTTGACAGCGAAAAGTGTGTAAGTATGCCAGATGTTTTAGGGTGGTTTGTTCTGTTTTACAAGCCAGGAATTGTCTTGTTTCCGGCATTAGTAAAGTATTTGGAAAGGAATAAGGTCTGCAAATCCTTAACTACACTAATAGATTCATCCTGTCATGAGAATGTGCTTCAGGATTTCATTCCTAACTGAATTCTCATGTTCATGGGCACAAACTTGCATTCAAATTTCTTTCCTTAGAACGTCATGCCTGCTTATGTTATGCATTTCTTTCTTTTATAATCATATATTTGTAATTTTAATCTCAAATATGACTTAGTAATCACATAATACAAAGAGTAATGGTGAGCAGAGTGTTTTTTTTTTCTAGAATGCGATGGATATGATAAAAATAAATATTTTAAACTCCAGGAAATAAAATCTGTATGGCTCCTTTAAAATATCTCCAATACTTTGAAAAGCTGGTCCTTGATTTTCATTATTCAGAAAACTTAATATAATGAAAGGTAATAGAATGGTATGTGCATGAGTGTTGCCTGCATGCATGTGTGTTAGCTTGCAAATATAAAGTTCTCAGCAAGTAAGATCAGTTAGGGAATTCTAAAGTTAAGTCCTGTAATAGTTCTTTTAATCATCTGGAATCTTCAGAAAACCCTACATCTTGATTATAAGCATAAGCTAATGTTAATCATAACCTAGTCTGACGTCCTATTATAAAACATAAGATATGAATTCCAAGCACACGTTGCAGCCGTTAATGGCTTTAATGAAGGAAGAGCATCTAACCTCAACAACACTATTGGCTTAGGCGGGAAAAAGAACTTAATTCATTTATTTGCTTATTTTTCCTGCTGTTAAAAATAGCAAAGGATTAATATTATTATCACTCTTACATAATTTGTTCCTCTGATTCCAGTATGTGAGCTTCTTTTTTTTTTTTTAAATAAAGATTTATTTATTTATTTTTGAGAGAGTGCATGAGCAGGGGGAGGGGCAGAGAAAGAAGCAGACTCTGCACTGAGTCAAAGTCTGACATGGGGTTGATCTCACAACCCTGAGATCATGACCTGAGCCAAAACCAAGAGTTGGACACTTAACTGACTGAGCCACCCAGGCGCCCCAGTATTTGAGCTTCTTGAAAGCAAATTACCTTTTGATCTATCTATGTAACTCCTACATTAGGTGAACAATAGATGCTCAATGAATTTTTCCTTATGGAAAAAGGGACCATATAGAAAAATTTACAAAAAGCAAGTTATTATATGTATCTTTTAAGCTATAATGCTCTAAAAATACAAACTAATGTGCTAAGCTCTTGACATCATAGTACTTTTTTGAGGATTTAATGAACATTATGGAACATCTCATCAGAAAAATACGCTCACCCATATGACAATATTATATGTACAATTTTTTAAAGATTTTATTTATTTGAGAGAGAGTGAGCGAGCGAGAGAGCAGGAGCAGGGGAGGGGCAGAAGGAGAGGGAGAAGTAGATTCCCCACTGAGCAGGAAGCCCGGATGCAGGGCTCAATCCTGAGACCCTGGGATCATGACCTGAGCCGAAGGCAGATGCTTAACTGACTGAGCCACCCAGGTGCCCCATAAGACATTTTATATAAAGTTCTAGTTGTTTTTGAAATTTATCCTATTAGTGAATGCATTATATTTAATATTTCAAGTGTTTCTTAACCATGATCATTTGCAGATGTTTTTCTCTATGTGATTGAGAATATGAAATTTGATATTTGTTGAATATCTTTTATGTGTAAGATATAATAACCTTTTACCACTTATACCAGGCAGTAAACTCAGTTGTCCTTCTTTCTTGCTTTACACATAGAAATAAATGGCCGTGGGGTCCTTTGAAATACTCATAAATAGAACTCATAATTAGCCTTGTTATAGTTTTGTGTCACATGTTTTTATTTGATCTCCATCCAAATTTATTGGATTATTTAAAACATAAGCTTGTCAGAGTCCCTGCATAGTTATATTATTTCAAAAGTATAAACTCTATTTTACCCTAATCATAATTGTTTATAATTGATTTCAAGAATTTAAATTCCTTGACCCATTATTCTCTTTGGATATAGCATATTAGCCTTTTTTTCTTGAGAAAATAATTTCTTGAAACCTAAAGCAGTGGCTCACAACTATTAGTGTATATAATATTCATAAAGAGGGTTCTTTGGTTTTTACTTGAAAAAATAAGCTCATACTGATTGGGGCTTGATCTCAGGAAATCCTTACAAGTTCACCCGAAGTGATTCTGCTGCAGGTATATGGAAGTCTGGCCTTTGAAAAGAGGTCCAAGTTACTTCTTCAGCTATAAGCATGCATGACTTTCATAAGCTCAAAGAGGCTATGTTTCCTCAAAATTTCCTTATATCATTTCACCTCAAAGTTTTATTTGTTCTAATTATAATAAGGACTATATTTATAAAATTGATTTGATATGTATGTAGAACTTTTGACATGCCATCCTAATCTTTAATTCTCATTTTAAATAGCTTATCATGGAGGATTAAAACAGGAAAATAATGGCCCAATTGGCAAAACTCTTTCCTCTTTATAAAACCAAGGCCAGAAAAGTTGAGTGAGTTTGCCAATTTACAAAGCTAGGTAGTAACAGAATCAGGATTAAAATTTAAGACCTTAGATTACCATTGGAGCCTTGGTTCCATCATGCTATATTACTTTTGTAACTGTGACCTATTCCAGAGCCCATCCACTCTTATTGGGGGCCTTTGTCTTATCTACTCACTGTACCTTTTTTAGTGCTTCTGTGAAATTGTTGAGAGTTTGAAAGATAGATAAAACCAATCATAGTATGTCTCAAGACTGGAAATTCACTACTTTATAAACAGTTTCATGTTGTATTAATGAGTCTCCCTCCCTCCATGGTGACAGTGAGGAGAGAGTACCCAGCCCTGCCAAGCAGTAATGAAGAGAGGCCAAATATGGAAGCTGAACCTCTACCCCACCAGGCAGTAATGAGGTAGTGCTCTCCATTCCCATTCCCCTACTGGAATGGTATCATAGTAAGCCACTAAAACACACAGTGTAAATAATTTCTAGAGTCTTTAATATCTAAAATATCCAAGATTTGGTTGAAAATCACTCATCATATAAAGAAACAGGAAGAGGTTAAACTAAATGAAAAAAGATGACCAGTAGATTCCAACACTTGAGATGAGAGAGATACTAGAATTACCAAAGATTTTTAAACAGCCATCATAAAAAGAATGGTAAACAATTACAAGCACTCTTGAGACAAATTAAAAAGTACAAAATTTTATCAAAGAAATAGAAAATCTAAACAAAGAAATAGAAGATATAAGAAAAATCCAGTAGGAATATTAGAACTGAAAAATTACAATAACCAACTGAAAACTCAGTATCTGGGCTCAGTGGCAGAATGGAGGGGACAGAGGAAAGAATTAGTGACCTGGAAAAAGGAGAGATTACAAAATTCCCAATTTAAACAACACAGAGATAATAGGCATATGCATGCACACACATGTATACACACACAACACACACACACTGCAGACACACACACAATAATATAAAAAGAGAACACGAGTTCAGGGGTCTCTGAGTCTGTAACAAAATAGGTAATATTTATGTATCATCAGAGTCCTAGAAAGATAGAAAAAAGAAGAAAAAGAAGACAGCCTTGAAGAAACACTTGAAGAAATAATAGTTGCCCAATTTTGACCAAAGGCATAAACCTATAGATTCAAGAAATCGAGTGAACTCCAAACAGGATAAACCCAAACAGTTCCACACCAAGATACATCATAGTTAAAGTTCTGAAAACGAAAGACAAAGAAAAATCTTGAAGACACAGGACATAAACAAGTTCTAGAGCAGAAAATCAATTTGAAAGACAGTGTATTTCTCATTAGAAACCATGAAGGCGAGAGCAAGTAGCACAATATATTTTGAGTGTTTGTCGCCGGGAGGGGGGAGAACTGTCCAGAATCCTATACCCAGAAAAAACATATGCTTCAGTAATTAAGGAGAAATTGAAAAATTATCAGATGTGGGAAAACTGAGATAATTGATTCTACCAGACCTACCCTAAACGAATGGCTAAAAGAAGTTCTTTAAACAGAAAAGAAACAATAAAAGAAGGAACCTTGGAACATGAGGAAGGAAAAAAGAACAGGATAAGCAAACATATGGGTAAATCTTTACTTCTCTAAATTATTATTTAAAATAGAAAATACCAACAGCGTTTTTCACAGAACTAGAATTTTCCAACAGTCTTAAAATGTGTATAGAACCACAAAAGACCCTGAATAGCCAAAGCAACCTTGAAAAAGAATAGCAAAACTGGAGGCATCACAATTCTGGACTTCAAGTTATATTACAAAGCTGTAGTGATCATAACAGTATGGAACTGGCACAAAAATAGACACATAGGTTAGTGGAACAGAATAGAAAACCTAGAAACAAACTGACAATTATATGGTCAATTAATCTTTGACAAAGCAGGAAAGAATATCCAATGGGAAAAAGACAAACTCTTCAAATGGAATAGGAAAACTGGACAGCAGCATGCAAAAGAATGAAATTGAATCATTTTCTTACACCACAGTATAAATTCAAAATGGATGAAAGACCTAAATGTGAGACAGGAAACCATCAAAATTCTGGAGAACACAGGTGGTAACCTCTTTGACTTTAGCTATACCAACTTCTTTCTAGATATGTCTCCTGAGACAAGGGAAACAAAAGCAAAAATAAACTATTGGAACTTCATCAAAACAAAAAAAGCTCTTCACAGCAAAGGAAACAACAAAACTAAAAGGCAACCTACGGAAGGGGAGAAGATGTTTGCAAATGACATATCTGATCCAAAATATATAAAGAACTTATAAAACTCAACATCCAAAAAATGAATAATCCAATTAAAATGGGCAGAAAACATGGATAGACATTTTTCCAAAGAAGACATCCAGATGGCCAATAGACACATGAAGAAATGTTCAGCATCTTTTCACCAGATG